AAAAAAAAAATTAAATGCAGCTCCCTTGCTTCAAGCAACAGCAGAGCTTAAAGAACTCCAGAAGTCAGTTCACGTCTTGGCTTCAGTTCTGAGAATCTAGATGCCCAGCTCACAGAGAACTAGGGTCCCCTCCAACAGGTTAAGAGCTCACCATTTACTCACCGGGGCTGCCCTGGGCCCCTGAAGCCCTGAGTGCTGCCCTCCAGGGAAGCCGGTCAAGCCGGACAGGTGTGGTGAGGTGTGGCCAACGCTAAGACTGCACGGGCCTGCGTCTTTGCAGGAAAAGAACAGTTCCGGTGACTTGGAAAAGGCCAGGAAATTGGCATGGAGACCTTCTGCCGCCCTGTTGGAGAGGGGGCAGGGGCAACCTGGGGGTATTGAGGAAGGGAGGCGGATTATTTGCTGCAAGCAGGCCCCTCTGCACAGACTAGAATCTGAGCACCTCACAAAGGTGCCAGCAGCAGAGGGGCCCTCAAAATGCAGTTTCAGGGGCCCCTGGGCGGCTCAGTCGGTCAACCGGACTCTGGCTCAGGTCATGATCTCACGGTCCGTGAGTTCGAGCCCACAGAGCATCGGGCTCTATGCCAAAGGCCTGGAGTCTGCTTCCGACCCCGTGTCTCCCTCTCTCTGCGCCCCTCCCCCACTCGCACTCAGTCTCTTTCTCTCAAAAATAAAATTAAAAAAAAAAATGCATTTTCAGCTGTTGCTGGCCTGAGATGCTGGGTTTCCAACAAGCTGGGTGGAAAGCAGAGGGGAGCGGCCGGTGAGGCAGCACGCAGTGTGACAGTCGTCAGGGAAAAGCTTGGAGAGCTGGTAGAAGGGACAACGGCGGTGACCACAGGCAGGAAACAAGGCGCCAGCGGCTGGTGCCCAGGGATGTGTCGCCAGCAGGGCTCACACAAATGAGGGGCTGTGCTGTCCCCCGACCTCAACTGTGAGCGTCCGTGGCTGAGACTAAATCTTGGTCGGCTCTCCATCCTTGACTGTGCCCAGGACCTCTGGGTAGGGCAGTCTTTCAGTCTTGTTCCCCTTTTCAGAAACGGTAGTAACCACCTCTGCCAGGGCAAGACGGGAGGCAAGGATTCTCCGACAGGCGTGTCTCATGGGACCTGCAGTCCCCAGGCGGGTCCGGGGCACACGCAGAATGTTCTGGCCAGATAGCCCTTGGCTTCAATGCACAGACCCGGACGAACAAGGTGGGTGAGCTTTTACTAAAGTCCATGCAGCTCCGATGAACATTCCTCCAACCTGCTGGAAGCTTCTCCTCTAGAAGCCCGAGGGCATCCCTCTCCAGCTGGCCCACTCCTGTGCCTGCGGTCCGGCTGTCCTTCCTAGGCTAATAAAGACTGTGCTGTATTCTAATTGTAAACTCCTTTTAAAAACCGTTAAGTTCTTCCTTTTTTTGTGTGCAGTGACAGCGGGCCGTTGTGATTTATTTGGGACAACAGTAATGGGACGATTGTGACCAAGTACGGCGTTGGAAACCATGCTAGTCCCCAGCTTGAGGAGGAAATCCCAGAGCCCAGGAAGCACCCTCGCCCAGCCCCGCCTCCCTGGGGGCACTGGCCTGCATTTCCTACCCCGGCCCTTCTGCAAACCCTTCCTCTCAAGCCTTCAAACACCTCTGTGAACCAGACTTCAAGTTCACCGCCCGTAACATCTAACTTGAAGCTTAAGAAGGACGGCGGAGGCTTTCAGCGTCCAGATGGTCCTAGAACCTCCCACGTGAAGTTCGCGTTGCATTTTTTGCCCCAAACTTTTGCACTCACCGCTAAGGCTTTGGTACAGATCTGTAGTCCTCCCCTAAGGAACTCCGTCCCGCCCCTGTGTGCAAAGGAAATCCCAGCTCCCACCCACCACTCCCTGGTGCTGAGACCCGGGAGGTATGGAGCACACGCCCTTTCACTGTCCTGCAAGATGGGACTTTCAGGGGTTGGGGACAGCATGTGAAGTGCTCAAAAATGAGAAGAGCCTATGTTCAGGGACGACAAAGGGCATCACCCAGAACCCAGGGCATGAGGAGGGACAGTGGCCCCCAGTGGCTCTTCTTGGGGAGGACTGACAAGCGGGTGGGTAGGGGGTGGGGGGAGGAGGCAATTAAAACACGACAATCAAGCCAACCTTTAAATAGCAACTTTTAAAAATATAAAAACAGCTCATTACAATGACTTTTCATTTTCTTTTTTTTTCTTCAGGAAATCAGCTTTTTCTACCCTCGCCCTCCTTTGCGGCTGGAGCCTTCACAAGACGGCAGATGAACCAGAGAAAGAGAGAGAAATTCTGGAGACGGCCCCTCCCCCACCCTCAGAAAGGTA